TGACTAGTTCGAAGTTTTGAAGGGATTTCATGGATGCACTCTATCAGATCACCATCAGCGGCCGCAACATCGATTACAGTAGTATTACAGTAGTACAAATCGTGAAGTATGAACGATGTATGAATGGGATTTGGGACACTTGGACAGAAATTCCAACACAGATCTCATATCTTACCTGAGTACTCAGTGGGTCACTACTTCATGGTTCTTAAAAGGAATCATTGAAAATTACAATTTGGATCCGCTAGCTTAGAAAATCGAGAGCTTTATATGTAATATTTGAAATTTTCTGTGCAGATTTGATAAAAATATGGCAAGCGCAAAACGATAATTGAAAAACTATACTGTTTTAGGGTGTGCGATTAGGCTGGAAAATTTGGCACGTTAGCAAGACAACAGTGGATGCCGAGGAACTGGAGAATAATCCGATAAAAGTTCTTTCGGAAACGCTGCAAAAGGATTTCCTCAGCCACATTGCCGACTCTGGATTGCCATTTTGAATGAACAAAAATAGCACCTTCACCTTTAGCATCGCGCTATGCATCATTCAATTGGCGCAATTTGGTGGAATTGGTATAAGTCCGTCGTTTTTTTTAAGCAAAAATTCATTTGGAACTGCCTTATGTCATAAAAATTAAAAGACACATATGTATTCTATTGGAGTGGAGATTATACCTTAATAATGTTTGGTGGTCAAGTTAAGAAATTTGAAATGGTAGCCTCAATAGGGATGAAGCGCTGTCCCGTCCATGTGTGAAGCTGATAATAAGTTCGCCAGTGTAAATGTAATCGAGTTGTTCAGTATTATTATGTAAATAATTAACCGAACATTGACTGTGTTACGCCTACACTTTTGCTTGCAATCTAACTAATGAGGTGTTCTGTTCGAATTAGCACTGGTAACGGTAATGCAATGTACGTTTGATACGTGTGCGTACGAGGTATTTTGATCATGATAAAGTCATTCCTTTTTAGGAGTGATAATCTTGTGAAGAAACGTTTAAACAATAAAGGTTCGATATGACCCTATTGAATCAAGAAATCAGTTCAGAGAGACAACAATTCCCTATTAAAGAGGTCCTAGAGAGCAGGGACGCCCTTTGGCTATCAGAAACAAATTCGTTCGAAAGAATTGTACTAGGAGCTGCTCGTTAAACGATCCGGAGCAGCATATGAACTTATGCATTCATTTATTCATTTCCCACTCCGTAAGAATATAGGACAACATTAGAAGGGGAAATGTCCGTTGCGCGCGTCCGTCGNATAAAGTCATTCCTTTGTAGGAGTGATAATCTTGTGAAGAAACGTTTAAACAATAAAGGTTCGATATGACCCTATTGAATCAAGAAATCAGTTCAGAGGGACAACAATTCCCTATTAAAGAAGTCCTAGAGAGCAGGGATGCCCTCTGGCTATCAGAAACAAATTCGTTCGAAAGAATTGTACTAGGAGCTGCTCGTTAAACGATCCGGAGCAGCATATGAACTTATGCATTCATTTATTCATTTCCCACTCCGTAAGAATATAGGACAACATTAGAAGGGGAAATGTCCGTTGCGCGCGTCCGTCGNAAGTAGGTCACCCCGCCCACTTCGCGGGCGGCGCTACACACTGATACTTAGAGATGACATTACAGTACCACCAAGTGTCAGTGGAGCGAGTGATCTGGTATCCTTGTAAAATATTTCTGCATACCGCTCACTTGAAGCGTGCCAGAAAACCTCTAGTGCCACTGGTCTTGCGAAACGATGCGATGCGAAACCAGCTGTTATAGTGGGAGCATTCCGCTCCGTTTAGTACGTAATATTGGCTTAGAAAAAGATAATTTCAGTTAGTCACTTCTTGTTTTCAGAGAGAATTATACTGTAGAATTTCTGAAAACTAATCGCAGATTTGATCCTCACCAATTTTTGTATTAGATACAGGTCAAAAAGCTTGCGCATGAAGGACAAAAGTGAGGACACACTAAGACATTTATTCCGCAGCACCCCTTTGAGTATTGGAATATAGGAATTTTATTTATTTATTTATTTACCAGAACAGTACCTTGCGTATATGAATTGAATAATATAAAATGAAACTGAGTCTGACAAAAACCATGAATGATGGTAGCGACTAATAACAAACATAACGAACAGGCAACAAAAAAAAANAAAAAAAAAGAAAACAAAAGTAAATAGGTGGAAAATATAAGGAGGAAATAAGAGAATTGAAAGAACTAAAGTGTGACCAACCTCCAGAGTAATGCAGAGCATGATGTTTGAAAATAACCCGCTAAACATAGAACTCATTTATATTATTTTTCGATTCTACGATGCTTCTATGCACGGCAAACTTTTTAATTAACTTACGGTATTCTAAGGAAGCCCTTGCCGAGAAAAATTTCCTCCGAACTGCAGCATTGATTTTAGGGAGGAAAAGTTTTAACTCACCTCCTCTGGTGTGGGACGAAAGAGGAATGAGCGAGCTCTTACCTCGCCTGTGATGATTTTGGGACCTGTCACCAAATGCAACTTCTTTCACTACGCCGGATTAGAGTTTCTCCAGTGGAATTGTTCCAAATCCTACTATCATAACGCTCATCTTGTTGCGGCAATGAGAGTGTCTCCATGTGGTATAGTTTGACTTCTAGACCTTGGCAGCATCTTGGCTTTCACTACAGAGTCATTAGGTGGTTTAGCGCTTTCCTATTCTTTCGGAGTTAACAAGTCCGTATCGGAGATGCTTTATCCTGTCTATATCCAGCCATCGGTGGTGTGTCTGAAAGCAAAGTACTGTCACCGCTGCCCTTTTCGATCTAAACCAGCGACCTGCTCAACTCGCTATCTAACTTTGGAGTGAACTGTTTGATGTATGCTGATGACCTCAAGATTTATAAAGTTGTTAGTTGTTAAACTCAGAAAAATTTCAATGAACTACAAGCGAAATTTGATGGTATCGAATCCTAGTTCGTTAGATTGGACTTCCTTTATCATATAAAAAAAATTTGCTTTTCTGTATTGATAGAATCTCAATACAAATTACTACCACTTAGGGACGAAAGAGCTTAAAGGCACAGTTCACGATAGTTTTGGGTAATCCAAATTATGATGAAAAATGGAAGACAAGATCGGAAATATTGTGATGAAGGTGAAGAAACTGCGTGAATCGGTGTTTCCAAAGTGAAAAAGGCTTCGGAACATTGTTAAAAAGGGGGCTGGACGAGAATGAGACCAGAGAAATGAAGAAGAGTAGGGCGTTTGGACGAGCTATACAACGTGTCTCACTGCGTACATGTGGGTCCTGGTGCAAATAACAGACTACGGTAAGCAAAAATTCATTCGCTTATAAGCATAAGTAAACAAAAAAACCTTAGTAACAGCGAAAGTAACCCACCTTTTTCAGCCTCTAGGAATAGGAAATTGAATAAGGAAAAAGCAAAAAGAGCAAGCAGCAGCAGCAGCAAAAAGAATAACAGAGGAAAAAGAAGGGGAGAAAAACATCGCCTCATCACTAAGTAACGTTTTTATCGTAAACCGTGCTTTCAAATGTGTTTCTGATACCCGTGATCTCGTCTTAAGTTCGACAGTGAGCTTGGAGGCATTGTAGAGATATCGTATCTAAAACCATGTTCAGAGCACAAAAAAAGCATACATGTTCACTGGAGTGTGTTCAGAATAGTTTTATGCGGAAACTTGCGATGTGCTGTTCTGGGTTAAGTTGTGAATATATTCCTCGTGGTACCGAACGAAGCCGCGTCTTTTCTTTCGCTAATCTGTTGATGAGAAGAAAGCTTAGAGAACTCCCAATGGTATTGAGGCTCTTTAATGGTGTGGCTACATTAGACTCCGTCGATTTCTTTAAACTGATTACATCCAGATTTAGAGGTCCTACGATTAAAATCGCAATCCCTCAGGCGCAAACACAGGTTTACCAAATATTTTTCCTCAACAAATACACCTCTTTTGACAAAATGTTAGGTGAAGAGATCATGCCTCAGACTCTTATCTATTATATTTCAATGGTCTGGTCATTAAGACTCACATGCAGAGAGTACTTGTATGTTTTCTGGTTATCTTCCGTTGTTATTTTCTCATATCCTCCTCTTATTTCTCATATTCAATGCTGAACTACTTTGTAGTCTTGTTGTTGATTAGTTTTGTTGTACATATCTTGTTGCACAGAGCTTGTTATGTTCTGTATGCATGCAGTATGTATGCAGTGGAGCGATTGAGGAAGGTTGAAAGAGAGAAGAGAACAGTTATGGCCAAGGCCGCCGAAGCTGGGAAGAGCATTCGCAAGCATGAGCTTTATCAACTGTATGACTGAAACGACTTCCCTTCATCGTCTTGACGGACAGTTACTGCATCTCGAAGGGGGATGGAGAAGGCCATCTACGATTTCTACCCCGATCTCTACGACAGCCACGTCTACCTACCTACCTTCCACCTTAGGGGAGGCAGATATGTCTTTTCAATTCTCCCTTCCTAAGTTCGGCATGCCATCACGTCCATGAAGAATTGTACGGCGCCTGGTCCAGACAGGTACGTTCCAGAACATCGAAAGAGTTTTCCGCCAGTCACTGTCAAAACCCCGGCTTCCCTCTTCACACGGTGCCTTACGGAATGCCAGGTGTTCCTCGCAGTGAAAGACTAGTAAGACTGTGTTGCTGGGTAAGAAGGGATACCCAGACGATATTGATAATTGCCGCCCAATCACATGCGTCATCCTCAACAGGATCGGCAGAATATAAGGTGAAGGACAGAAATGCGAGCAAGCGGGGTTTTGGAGACGGTTCAGTACAGTCGATACCTGCTTTGACATTAGGATCCAAAGACTTGGACTCTATGGAAGCAGGATGAGCATGCAGACAGCGTCATTCAGCGAGCTGTCGTAGGGACAATGCTCAGAATTTCTCTTTACACTCAAATGCTGAGAGGAATCGGGAGTACCGAGCCCCTATAACGAACGGACATTATAGATGTCGTTGATTAAAAAAAATCGAAAATCAGGTGGGCTGAGCATATCATGGTATATTGATGGCCGTTGGGTCAGGTCGGGTATTGGCAAGTTCTCTCAGGACGTCAAACCAACACCAGGATGGGCATCGACCCGATAGTCGGTGTTTTTCACGAATGTTCTTGACAAAGAAATGCTTTGCCCTGTGCCCCTCGAGCGAGGATGATCCAGTGACTACTATGGTTCGCGACAGGGACGACTGGAGACGCTACTGACGCCTGCTCGAGGAATTCGCTGATGAACGGGGTGACAATTGAACAGGTGATATAACCCGTCAATTGCAATGCAGTGCAATGCAATGGCCACCTTGACGAATTGGATTTTCATTGTAAGTTCGAAACATATGTGAATTATGTGATCAGAAATTGTGTGTATGTATGCATGTGTGTATGAAACACATGTGTGTGTATGTATGTGATCAGAAATTCATAAAGCCTATGTTTCGAACTTACAATGAAAATCCAATTCGTCAAGGTGGCCACTTGAGATGGGCTGTTAAGCG